GCGATGGTTCCAAGTCAGAGAGGGCAAGTCCGCCACGGCACCTCTCCGCGTCTGTCGGCGCGGCAGCGGCGTGGGCGCGCGGCAGGGCACGTGACCGACGCGGACACGGCCACCACGCCGCCATCGCCGCCAGCTCGCCATGAGCACGCGGTGCAGAGCGAGTGGTTAGCCAGCGGGCGCGGCTGTCGCTGGCTGAGGGGCAAGCGCGCCGCAGGTTGAAGGGCCGGCCGTGCTGCAGTTCCGTCCACGCTCCGGGAAGGGAGCGGCACCCCGCCATAACTGCATGGTGTCTGCCGAGGGACCTGGGAGGCTTTCAGGCCGGCGCTGCCGCGGGCTGGATCTGACGTCCCTCCCTGAGTAGCCTGGTCAGCCTGGGAAGGCCCATGACCTCTACGCCGGTTTTATCATTAATACCACCGGATGCCCCTCCGCACGGTGGTTGGTACGTCCTCCGCGGCACGCTGGTGAGTGGTACGAAAGGTCGGGAATGTGGTGCCGGCGGTCGAAGGGGTAGATGGAGTACTGCCCCGGTGGCGGAGGATCTGGGTCGGGGGACACCACCCCATTTCTCCCTGCCTTTCCTCTTTGTCCCTCAACACTAAGCCAGTCGCTCCTCATTGCTTGTGTGCAGATCTACGGCCCCTTGTGCGTGCCTGGCTCCTCGTGCCGCTGGCCAAGGAGCGCCCGTTCTGCTGCCTGCGCCTGGGCCTGTGGTTCAGTTGCTCAGGCTCGTTTCACAACCCCACCGACTTCTGCCTAAGTCCTGACACTGACCCATTCGCCACCAGTCTTTAAGGCTCCTGGGCAATCTGCTTGGTTGCCCTCACTTTATTATGCTCTCCTGTGTATCTTGTAAGGCTGGCCTCCCCAACTCATTTCTTCAAACTGCTCACCCTCAGCACTCTCAACTTAAGGGAGCACCCTAGATGCGGGACCATGGATGGCTTCCTCCTAGGGAATGCTGGGAATCCTTTCCTTCTCTGGGCCAGGCCTGACACTACACACCGTGATGGTTTCAACAAAAGCAGCTTAAGAGTTCTGACTCAGGGGTCTGACTTCCGCAAAACAAGACATAGCACAGCCCACATTCCCTCCTGGGACCACACCACACCCAGCTGCCTCCTGGGCCCTCTCCTGGCCCTACCCACCGTCGGGTTTTTGCTTGGAAGGTAATACACAGGCCAGCTGCCAGTTGGCTTGAGTTTCAGATCTACTCTCAGCACTTGAGGTTGTGACTTGAGCAGAGTTACCAGTGCTCTGGGAGCGTTGATTGCTCTCCTGGGCTCTGAAGATTGGATAATGGCTGATGATGAATTGTGATATGTAGGTGCTTGGAACCGGGCCTGGCCCACAGGAAACACCATGTGTTAACATTTTTATCCCTGCCTCCCAACCTATGTTGTGTGTGGCTTCTCAATACCCAACATCTTCAACACCATCTCTTTTTGATCAATACCGAAGATATAGCCTATGGCATTTAAGTATGATGACAGACAGATGACTGAATTTTTTTTTAATTTTTAAATGTTTTATATTTGAGAAAGAGAGAGACAGGCATGAGCAGGGGAAGGGGCGAGAGAGAGGGAGACACAAGAACCGAGCAGGCTCTGCTGAGTGCACTGACAAGCCTAACCATCGGGCTCAGTGCAACAGTCAGGAGATCATGACGACTATTTGGGCAGATTGATTATATAAATGCATCTGTTTGATTAGCCAAAGCCTTGACTCTAAAGCTCCAGACCTTTCCTTTCTCATTTGTCTCTCAAAACCCAAAGGTGATGCTTTCCTTGTCCAAATCAAATTCTCTTCCAGTGTTTCCCACCTCTTTCTTTTACCCAGCTCAAGAAACCCAGGTGTCTTCCTTGACCCCACCCACTCTTACCTTCCTTTGGCAACCTCAGCAAACCCGCCCCAGCTAGTCTTTGCCTCTAAGTCTCCCATGACCCATCCTACTTTTTTCTCTCACGCTCTATGGAACACCGCAGCAGTCCCAGCGTCGCCCGTTCTTACAGACCCTGGGAGGAGCTCCTAGAGCTGGTCCTACAGGTCATACTTGGCCTTCTCCAGGCTTCTCTCACATGGCTTTACCCTGTGACCTTCCAGATCCATTACCCACCAGGTCCCAATCCACGCACTTTCACCTTCATTCCTTGTCAAAACCTTTTAATGTTTTTTTTTTTTGTTTTTGTTTTTTTTTTTTTTGGGGTCAGAGAGAGACAGAGCATGAACGGGGGAGGGGAGAGAGGGAGAAACCTAGAAGTCGGAACAGGCTCCAGGTATGCTCTGAGCCATCAGCCTAGGAGCTCGCCGCGGGCTCGAATCTCACGGGATCATGAGATCGCGACTTGGTCGGATTCGGACGCTTAACCGACTGCGCCACCCAGGCGCCCCAATTCCTTGTCAAAACCTTTTAATGTCGTGATAACTTAGTGGCCTCAGGTTCCTATGTCACGTGACTCTGCTGCTTCTCCCGGCAGGAACGGGAGTCTGTTCCCCTAGCCCTTGAATCTGGGCTCACCTTGTGACTCACTTTGACCGACAGAACGTGGCAGAAGTGATGTCGTGGTCCTTCAGAGGCCTTGAGCCTCTGCCGTCATCCCCTCGCGCTGCCCTGAGTCTGTTATGTAAGGGAATTTACCGGCAGATGAGGCCGCGTGGAGAACCGAGGAGTTCCAGCCAATAGCCATCTGATGTCCCCACTCAGCGGACCTGCCAGCTGGATCCAGCCACGTGAGTGAGCCCAGGTGAGAACAGCAGAGAAAACAGCCAAGCTAATTTTGGGGGTGAATTGTGTGTGTCAGTGGATAACTGATAGGGTTTCCTATTGCCCTTTGGATGAAAAGAATATTCCAAAGTGCCCTATAAGGTCCTGTATGCCCTGAACCCACCCATGTCTCTCAGTTGGCTTCCATTCTCTCTTTAGACCCTCTAGTTTTGACCTTTGGCATGCATGTTCCTTTCTGCCAAAAGCTTCTATTCCCCTAACCCTCTTACTTGCATATGAGTAACCTGCACTCCTCCTCCAGCGCCCCATAAAGCCTCCTCACCTTGTCAAATACCACTGTAGCCTCAGGTAACACCACATGCTTGCCTCTGGACTTTGACCAACAGAAATTTGTGTTTTTGGAGGGGGGTGCCTGGTCTGCCTCTCCCATCTGTAAACTCCATGCAGGCTGTTCTGGGTCTGATTTTGTTTGCCGCTGTATCCCTGTGCCATACCCCGGTGGGACTCGATAAATAAATACTTGTTAAATTAGTGAACAAGGTGCGTGATGAATACAGTAAATGAGGTGTGACTACAAAGGAGGATTTCTTATGACCGCTTTACAGACAGCCTCTGGAGGGAATTCCTAACAGGGTTGTTTGTTTTTTGGTTTTTTTTTTTTTTTT